ACAGCCTTGGGACATTAATCATTCCCGTTCCGCATTTGACTTCCATTCAGAGTCGTAGTGGTGGCGTACTGAAGGCGTACTGACCTATTCAATGACTTGCGGTAGCCAGCCTATGTTCAAATCAATACATATATCCTCCCAGACGGGTATGTGTGCGAACGTGCGTCCGAGGATGCGCGCGGCAAATTGCGCGACGAAGTTCGTAATGATTTGAACGACTCTGGCGCCTATCATTGGGGCCCAAATTTGAAATAGAGCGGATTGGGCGGATCATCTGACCCTACTAAACTACACTACTCCGAGTTTGTGCCCCGAAAATTGGAGCCGCAGTCGTACAAATCGACACAAACTTCGCCGCGCAATTGGCCGCGCGAACTCTCGGACGCTCGTTCGTACCGTCCTCCTCCCAGACGGGTCTGGTACCCATTAACCGACCCCGGAGGGATGGAAGGCTCGGGTGGCCTAAGCTGAAATCGATCTGTGATTCGAATTGTGATGCTGTGTTGTAGTAGTTTGGATGTAAGTTGGGAACCCAGTTGAGGTACAGTGGAGTGCCACTCCACCCTATCCCATCAGCTACATTTTCACCATCGCTCCTTCTCCCTCAACAACTGCGTAGTGTTGAATGGGTTTTTGAAGGGGGCCGTCAGAAACTCGCTTTTGTAAAGAGTTGATATCTTACTCGACATAGATTAGGCGTTCCACAGCTCCTTGTAGACAGCCAAGTAGAAAAAGCTTTCTGCTCCACGTAGCTTTTGAAACAGTACTGTGTATCGAATGGGCAATCTACCTGGAAGAAATCCCTGACGATATTCACTCTAAGTTGGATATACATTTGAATCGTAAAAAGCAGCAGTTGTTGTAATACTCACCCATATCTTAATTGGGTGTTTATCCTCGTTGGTATCGGCATAGGAATAACATCGAATAGCATGAAGAGGGGTTACAGCAGCAAACAGCAAGAAAAGCAGCTGCATTTCTAAAACCGCTGGGCTACTTCTCTCATGTGGGTTATGGTGAAATATAAGCAGGTCGAAATAGATGTCAGAAGAGTACGATAATTAGATGAAATAACTAAGAAGGGCCATATGATGGCAGTTTTTCCTATAAAAATTTATTTGATGAGAAATAGTGCCTGTCTTAGTTGTGATATGTGGCTGTAAAAATTGTTCGGGGCTCATCGAAAGTCTGATTCACTAGTCTATGAGAATGGATAGTTCAGCAAATCTCTGCCAAGCTTATACCTTAGTCAACGATCATTTGAGAAGGAAAAACATTCTGAAAAGTATGACTATAGGGATCGAAGAACGGCTGCCGATAGGTATTTAGGTCCTGATACTGGAAGCTAGGATTGTTTTCATAAAGATGCTCCCATTTTGCTCTTGTGATTAGGGTAGACACTCTTGTCCTGTCTTCCCATGGTAGCTTTCAGTAATGACTTCAATTAAGCGGCTTTTGGGCATTTTTTCCCATTCGTGCGATCGAATGAGTCAGAGTCAGATCAGTTGAAGATAACGACGGAATTACCTCAATTCTATTCGATAAGTGCTTTATCACTTGATATGCACTTATCACTAAAAGAACTGCTAACTGTGAGATTCAACAAAGCAAGAGGTTGGAGCGTGAGCCGTCGGGAAGGTGGTGGAGCTTGAGAGCTCTAAGAATACAGCCTGAATCAGAAAGAGACTGATCTTCGGAAAAGAAAGAAAGGAAACGTCACAGCTCAGTTTGACAATTCATCGAGCAAGTTGTGTGTACATCTGTCGGTATGTTCAGAATCTGAGCTTCTTCAGTTGACCAGTCATAAAGCCCTAAGAAAGCTACCCAACAACCCTGAAAATGTGGAAGGCGCCGGAGCTTGGCCATTTCGCAGTTTGTCTAGCGTAGCTAGCGATATCTGATTGCTGATATTTCGGAACAAAAACTGCAGGGGTTTTCTTTGGAACAGGAGCTCAAGAAGTTCTAACTCACGGAGAGAATTCTTTAAAATAGCCTCTGTTATGGCTGAGCAAGGCTCAATCTCGACTCGTTGTAAACCTTGAGAAGCTTCTTGTAGTCCCTTGTTCAGTGAGCTGTAATATGGGCATAAGAGCTGAGCTATGAAATGTTCAGTCAATACTAACCATAAGCGAATCTAGGATAAATAAGCCAATGTATTCTTGACAGCAAAACAGCGGGCATAATGTATTGTGGGTATTGTGGGATTCGTAAGGGCAAAGTTGGAACTCGATGGGAAAAAAGAGGCGGTGCTCGAATGGGATGAATCACACTTGGATAGTCACATGTCTACTATTTACTCACGGTTTGTGTTCCATACGAATTCTGTGAATCTGGAATGATTATCGATCAGGTGAGTCAGATGAGAGAAGGGAAAAAGTTAGAGTGTTCAGATTTGTTGGCTGACCGATTCAGGCGAATTGTAAAGATGGGGATACTCTAAGAGCAGCATGCGTCAGAAAGCGTCATCGCGGTCGCACGCTGAAACTATGTATGTAGGTAATGGCATACGTTCAGGGTTATCATGAAGTGATGGCCTTTATTTCACAAACAACGGGGTACTACGGTTGTGGTGCAGTAGGAACGAAATTGTCGCTTCGCGCGAGAGAGACACCGCGCGCGAAGGAATGTGTCACAATGCAGCAGTAAGTAAGAAATTCAGGAACAAAAGAACTCACAGTAGAATCATGGCATAAGTGATAACCGCATTGCAACAGAGCTGTATGAAGAACGTTAGAACTGTTATAACGAGGCAAATTTTCTACGGCAGCCCCGTGCGGAGGATCGATTACTCAAACCGTTCTTACTGTCCGTCTCCCGGGTGCTACTTCTTCTCCTGGAAGGCATGTTCATGTTCACGATTGAGAAAAGAAAGATAGTAGGAACAACAGCATGTGAAAAAGGAGTGAAAGAGAAGCGTATCAGGGAAAATACCGACTGACTAGAAGGGCTTGGCGTTATTGCGACAAGGAAATTTAGCGAAAGGGGTTGTGCATTGGCCAGCGATGCCAGTCTATAAGTCGGCTAAGCGTCTTCATGTTAGAGGGCACAGGAACACAATCTGTGCTGAGTCGACTCCTGGCTCATCGCGGATAGCGTTTCTGGAAAGCGAGACGATCTTCACTTCAAGAATTTTAGATCCTGTTTAGAGCAAATCTGCGACGCTTTGTCGCGTCCCGTACCATCCTTTCTGTGAAGTCATGTCTACTAACTCATGAAAATAAAGGAAATGCAAATATGGACGCGTGCATATCAGTGATTCATGGAAAAGCGCTTACTGAGTCATGCTTAAGTCTCTCTAAATGTCAAAATTGTGGGTTAGAAGCTGATTATCAGACGGATTGTCCAGCACATCGCAGAATATTGATGAATAACGGAAATGAGAATGAAAGTTGAGAACTGCGCTAGTTTCAAGAAGTTGTGGTTACAATATGGTGAACGACTTTCTGAGGATGCTTGTAAACCAGCTATAGCTCCACCGATGATTAGTGTTGGAAGAATTGCTCAGCAGATGGGTCCTCGGTCCTATTTGAATTGCACGTCGTCTAGTCTGAACACTTCTAGCGGTAGTCTACTTTTAGGCATATTTTTAGTCAACTTCGCCGATTGGTAATAAATTGTGAGAGAATGAATGACTGCAAGAAAGTAAGGGAGGATCAGCACACATAAGAAGCTATGAGAGCTGGGACCGTTGCCTGGTTGAGATGGACATTGCGAAAACGAGGACGTTTCAAAGAGGTCCCTTGAAGTTTGGGTGTGAACGTACGTTCCGCGCGTCCGTCGAAACTAGGTCACCCCTGTTACTTTCGGATGAATCGTTGAGGTCTGAAAGCAGTCACTTGCGACGTCCGTCAAGTATCGCGGGCCGCATGCGACGGCTGCGGCGTGTGACCTAGTTTTGACGGACGCACGCAACGAAGCGCGCCCAGGTATGAAAACAATGTGAAATGAAATTTGTCATGCATTTTTGGCTGATGTATTTCCACTTATATACACCACCTTTATCAGAAAACGTGGTCGGACTTTTCGTTTTCCTCAAGATCCAAAAGTGGAAAGAACATCCGAGCATAACCGTGGAGGTGTATTCACACATTGGAGGTGTATTTAAATAAATAAACACTCTCACAGCGGAAAAAAAATCCCGCATTTTATCACCTCTTTTTTTTTTCTCGAAGTAGGTGGGATGCGATGCAGAGAGCATATTTTGCTTCGTAGGGTTGTGGGCTTTAGCTGTGGGTTCTAGTTGTTTCGGGACCCTTCGGTTTGATGAACCCCCCCCCCCTTTTTGAGGTCCCCTTGGTCTGCTCGCCCGGGATTCCGGACGAATTCGTTCGTAACGGACTAAGTTGTCAGCATGCCTCGATTCTTCTGTCGCTTTGCGTTCTTAACCAAGGACCAGGATCTTGCGGGGAGACCCCTCATCTGCTTGATAGGTTAAAGCAACCTTATCGTTCTCACAATGAAATGCCCTAGCTCATCCCTCGTTCCCATTGATGTCTGGGCAGGCTGATCTCTCTGCTTATCTCATCGCTACTCTAGTTCTAAACTTTTTACCTTTTTTACCTTTTTACTTTGTTTTGTAGTTATACGTTATTGTTATGCGTTTCTCTTTTGCCTTGCTTCAGGCCAATTTTCCATAATTTTCTAGCTTCTAGTTTCCTTTTGTCTATGTGATTGATGGGCACACCCTCGATGTGTATTTGAACAAATAAATAAATAACAGTACCATTTNAAAGCAACCTTAACGTTCTCACAATGAAATGCCCTAGCACATCCCTCGTTCCCATTGATGTCTGGGCAGGCTGATCTCTCTGCTTATCTCATCGCTACTCTAGTTCTAAACTTTTTACCTTTTTTACCTTTTTACTTTGTTTTATAGTTATACGTTATTGTTATGCGTTTCTCTTTTGCCTTGCTTCAGTCCAATTTTCCATAATTTTCTAGCTTCTAGTTTCCTTTTGTCTATGTGATTGATGGGCACACCCTTGATGTGTATTTGAACAAATAAATAAATAAATAACAGTACCATTTGTGTAGCCGGCTCTGATGCGCCAGCACTGTTAGTGCCTTCCGTGTTTTCAGTAAATTCCCGATGAAATAATGAATATACGATAGCACCCTAACGATCGGAGAACAGTGTGATCACAGCTCACCTGTCCGATGTATTCTCATTCTGACTTAGGAAGGTCTCGTCGCCCACTTCATCGTAGTTTGGCCACTTATTGTCTGATTTCTTCAGCATTTATACTGTAATGGAGAAACTCAGCTGTTTCAAACTAATAGCTGTTTCATTCATTCCTGCATTACTGGTTCAGGATTACAAAAACGACTTTTCGGTCATATGCCTACAAACTCCGTAGGACGGAAAGACATACTATCTTTTTAGCTCATCAGCAGATATTTGCGTAGGGGCAAAGGTAGATAGGTATTGTGAATAGTGTTTATGATCAAATCCCCACCATTTTTGGAGTTGCTCTCTTGACTGGGTTCTATAGGGTAACGGAACTTCTCCCCGGTTGCGGCCGTTCGCTTTGCGGCATGCGGCCAACCTTTTTTAGTTGTCTCGCGGCTACAAACTGCAATCACCGTACTCGGCCCTCCTCCCGCCAACTGATAAGACACAATACTTTTCATTGACTGTCTTTCTTTTTCAATTGATTTTGATTGTTTTTTCTCTTTCTTTTTCGTTTTTATGTTTATTGGACTCGATTGTTTGGCTGTTTGACTACTCTTCTATTATCGATAATCAAAACCGCATTGGAATTGAAGGGAGTGGCTAGTGAATTCAAATAATTAAAGGACTTTCTGGCTCACAAATTGCGCGCTCCAATCTTCCATCGCAGCTCTGCGATAAGCGGCGGGTGCGGCGCGGCGAGCGCGATGCCGTGTTCGGGGGGGGGGGGGGGGGGGGGGGGGGGAAGATACCGGACCCGGTTCTGTACCTCATGCACGCCCAACATGGTTCGATATGGAATTCAAA